GAGGCCGAGCAAGGCGGGCTTAAGGGCGGTAGGCCCCAGGGTGGCTCTTATGGACCCCAGACCGGCGACCTCCACTCCGGACCCGAGGCCGAGCAGGGCGGGCTGAAGGGCGGCCGTCACCATGGCACCACCGGCGAGGGGGAGATCGAACACGTAATGGGTGGCCCTGTTAAGGGAACATCAGGCTCCTATGGCCCTAGCCCTGCTTCTGCTAACCTGGAAAATCTTGACCCGGCTCCCTTACCTCTGTCTGGTAGCGGGTCTTACGGCCCATCAGGCGGCAGTGGATCTTACGGACCAAGTGCGGGGGCGGGGGGCATCAAAGGACATAGAGCTGGCTCGTACGGGCCTAGCCGCGGCGGGTACTGAAGCGAGGCTCGGACCGTGTAGTGTTAGGTTCATCCAATCTGTTAGAGAATCTTTCTGCGACGCCCCATAACAACCACTGCCACAGATAAATAACTCTTTTTAACATCATTGACAGTTACGAGGGAGAGGTGTGGATAACTGTATGAAAAAGTGATTGTCTTAGGGATGAAAAAAAGGGTTCTCCTTCAGTATTAGGTTGTTGTCTGTGATACTCTAGATGAAAATGTAAATAGTCCACTTGGGTGGATAGAATGAACCTCATGTCATCTTCCTCTCATCTCAATAAACCATACTACTAATTCTAAGAACAAGAACATGTTCCAGATCGATTATTTTATTGCACCTGATTAGTCACATATTCTACATTTACAGACAAATTTTAAAAACTATTTTCAGAATAAATAGATCAAACTACTTCAAGAGAATCCATACAGAAATCAACAAACAGAAAGTACATATGCAAAATACCAAATTTTTACCATCAGAATGTCACAAAACTGGCCCAACAATTATAAATGATGTTTATGTTCTACAGAAAAGAGAAACATAGTTTAGTTAAAAAAAATAGCCTATTAACCTGAATACAAAGCTGCCATCAAGACCAGTGAGAGCTATGCTTTAAAATGGCTTGGAGTCGTGCTCTCCTATAGTTAGTGCAAAGTGGAAAACACGCATAATCACAGAAACACCTTCCACTTAGCAGCCAACAGAAAAGTAAGGCCCAACACCAGAAAAAGGCAGTGTTTTCACTGAAATTGGTGCATCTGATAAACACGGTATTGTAAGTTAACTTAAAAATATTCACAATGTGAAAATTGATACTACACAACTACAAGGCACAACATCTGTAGTCTGCTTTCAGACAGATGACATCTTAAAAATAATGATATGTTTTAACGGTTCTATGAAACATTAGGTTGCTGAGCAAATACGAACTGATGATTTTCCGACCATAACTATAACCCCATCGTCCTGCAGGTCCTTCAGAGCATCTTCAAACATCTCTCTGGTAATTTGCTAAAATGGATAGACAGATAGAGACAATTTAAAACACGTAGACAAAATATCACCCCCTATGTTAGCAGGATAAGAAATTGAAACATACCAGTTGAGAATTCTCCTTCAAGTCCATTTGTAACTTTTGGCAGCTAATTGTTTGCACTTTGCCTCTATTTTTGATGACAATTTTGTTTAAGGCTTCCTTGATTTCTGCTCTTCGCTTTCTCGCAGCATTACTTAAACCAGTAGTGAGAATGCCAATATCAATTTTGCCAGACAATGGATCAGTTGCAGACTGTTTCAGGGCCTCACGATGTAGTCTAGAGAGCATAGAAAACAAATTTCAGATAAATTTGTAGATAGATAAAAGAGATTGATTTGGGAAAAGTAGGATACAAATCATACCTATATGCCTCATCTACATCAACAACATCAACTGTTTCAGAGAACCTTAGTTTAGCATGAGCCTCTGCCAAACGAATCAAAGACTCTAGTTGACGGGGATAAGCAGATACTTGACCACGACCAGAACCAATACGGCGCATATCAACATATGACTGCACTAATTTTTGAGAAGATTCATCAGTGAGTTTTGGTTTAACATGATCTTTAGCGTATGCAAGATAATCACGCATGATACTCATATCCTAAAAATCCAAAAATAATTCAAATAAAAAACATGCTAGTCAATACATTGCATTTTTCTTAGAAATAAAAACGAATAGGTACCATTAATTCGTCCTCCTCCTCGTCTCTAGTTTTGTAGTATAAAGAAACCAAATGACGAGCAAGACGCCTGTCAAAAAGTTCGTTTTGGGGATCCAACATAAGGAAAATTAAATCAAATCTGGAAAAGAAAACAATATACAAATTAGTAAAATTTACAAAACTTGCTACGCTTTACTGGAAATTAGGCAGTAACTGCACACTTTAGTGAGATTATCACTCATGTAGTCATGCAACACAAAGAGCAGCACACAAACCTGGACATAAGGGTGTGGGGTAGCATAATGTTTTCTATGATGGTTTTGTTTTTATTCCATTGAGATTCAATAGGATTAGCTGCAGCAAGGATGGATGTCCTGGCATTTAGCTGACAGATAATACCTGCTTTAGCAATACTCAGTGTTTGTTGTTCCATAACTTCATGGAGCACACTGCGGGTGGAGTCATTCATTTTGTCAAATTCATCAATACAGCAAATACCATTGTCAGCAAGAACAAGTGCTCCTCTGCAAAATTTAAACAAGGAAAAACAGAGATTAATATAGTAGCAAGAAGATAACTTTTAAAATGATCAAATTTTAAAAAGCATTAATGTCAATTGTACGGCTTCTTACGTTTGAAGTACAAGCTGGCGAGTCTCTGGATCTTTAGTGACATAAGCAGTGAGGCCAACAGCTGAAGATCCTTTACCAGAAGTGTACTGGCTTCGAGGCACAAGGTTGTATGCATACTGCAGCAGCTGAGATTTACTAGTACCAGGGTCTCCACAGAGCAAAATGTTTATTTCAGCTCTGTTAAACATAACACAGAATTTCAATTCAACTCTTACAGTACTAGAACTTTAATTAATTTTCATCACAAACCTACCTGAAGTTTGTGCGCCCTGAGATTGGATGAGATTTTTTAGTGCCCCCAAAGAGTTGAAGAAGAATTCCTTTCTTGATGTCTTCATTTTCATAAATAGATGGAGCAATAGCACGAGCAAGTCGCTCGTAAATATCTTCTCTCTCAGACAAACGCTGCAATAATTCTACTCTTTCAGGAGGGAATCTGTGATCTTTCCTGCAAGACACAAAAACCATGAATTAAAATCATATATTTCAATCCAATGGCTCAAAAAAATTTAATGATGGCTACAAAATACAAAGTAGAAGGTCCAACATTACCCTTCTTCATCTTCATAAAGACGTTTTGAATCCACTTTACGGAAGTGTACAACATCAATGTGTGTCTTGTACACAGATCTAACATTGCGCATTCGTGGATTAACTTGCATGGAGACAGCTCGGTACACCCCAGTTACCGTGACACGATCACCAGGATTCACTGCATCTACCAAATCATTGTGGGCATATAGGACAACAGTGTGAGGTGTCTGTCCCGGGGGCATGTCATCTGTTAATTAAACATAAATAATCATAAAAAATTTATCATAAAAAATTAGAAACAAAATGAAAATGGTGTGATAATACTAGTGGATCGTACCTGGAGATTCTTGAAGCTTGATCATTTGTTTATCAGTGAATTGGGACCGGTTGTGAATTAGTTGGAAGCAATGATTGGTGTTGCAATGGGTACACAGGGTTGGTTCAGCAATTCGACCACGGTCAATCTCAACAGCAGTTGAAAATGAGCAAACAATGCACTTGAAGAAGGCCTCTCGCATTTCAGGGACGACATTTGAAGTCCGAATAACCATTCCACTTATAGTAATAAGTTGATCAATATCTGAAATAAACAACAAGCACAGTGAGAAAAATATATATGGGCAATGAATGATTGAATATATTGTAACAATCAGTTTCTGTTACAATTTTTCAAAACTTGATAAAGGGGATCTTACCTTCCGGATTTAGCATTCTCATATTCTTAGTCTTTGCTGCATTGAAAGGCCTGACTTGAATTTGATAATCAATGACTGCTGCAGGGAAACGTTCAAAGAACATTTCATTGAGAGCCATATCAAATGTAGGAATCACTTCTTGAGGGTAACGCACTAATTGGCTGTACAATTCCTTGTCATAGGTCTCCAAATGACTACAATTAACATTCAAGCAGGTTTCTTCAGCTTGATGAATCTGTTATAGATAGATAAAACACAAAAATTGGTTAAGATTACAACCTACTGCACCATCCAATAGATTAATTCATTTAAAGGCACCAATTTACCTCATCCAACTTTTGAAGATAAAGAGGCTGACTCAAATCCATATCTGGATTAGTTTCATCTACTTCAGCATTCATGTCAACAAATGTTGAGATAAAAGACTTAAATTTATCTTTGCATCTATTGACAACAACATCAGTCCCCCAGATGACAAGTTGAGGAGCAGCCTGCTCTCCCTCAGAAGCATCAATTGCACCAGCATCTGATGGTGGATCGATCTAAGCATGTCAATTAAATTAATATTATTCAAGGCAACAAATAAATAAATACATTTAATTTGAAGATAGAGCAAAATAAATTACAGGGTCAGATTGAAGATTGACTTGACGCAAGTGACGGTCTGGGCGAATATCTGGTCGCTGCCGAAGGGGAGTTCCTCTTATTCCAGATCGAGGGGTTCTGACTGATGCAAGAGAGCTTGGAGTACCATAGTTGAGGGGAGAGCTCATCATGTCCATTTCACTCGGAGCTGAAAGAATTTATAATATAGATAAATGAAATTCAACACACAGTGATTATCAGGGAGAAGTACCAGCTACAAACAGAATAATTGACAGTACCTCCAGCAAAAGGACTGGTAGCTGGGGGAGCAAGAACATTGTCAGACGGAGTAAGAACATTGTCTGATGGAGTAAGTGGATCAGAAGCCTCTACCACGACATGGTCATTAGCAGCTTGGCGACCCTGTTGGCCCCAACGAAGTGGAGTAGATTCAGTAAGATCAGAGGAACGCTCTGATCTTTTTCCTGGAGTGGCTTTTGCTGGGGTGGCAAATGTTGAATCCTAAAAATCATTGGTTTTACAATTATGTGTAGATATATACATACTGCAGGTTTATACACATATATTCAACTAATCCTTGTTACCTCTTCAGTAGGAGCAGTCCTCTTCTTAGATGGTGTGTTTGTTTTGGCAGGGGTACGAGATTTTCCAGGGGTTCGTACAGCAGCATCTTGACTGGCAACTACAGAACCGTGTGATGATAGCAAAACAATATGAGTACAAGGGCTTAAAGATAAGAAAAACGCAAATTAAGGATACTGTACCTTTGGATGGGGTGTTCCTCGTTGATCGTGATGGAGTACCTGTGAGATTTGTTCCATTTGAAGCTTTCAAAGGAGTCTTGGTTTTAGATGCGCTTCGCGTGGACGGTGTCCTTGGCGCTTCCTTCGACGGAGTTTTGGTTGGACTCGGCATCCTAAAAGATGTAAAAAATCGGTAACAAATCCGGACATTAGGATGAATGTACACTTGAGGCAACAGCTGCTATCAATAAAAAAATCAAAATTCAACACGACTTAAACTAGGAATAAGTCAACGAAATCCGTCGATAGCGGAAGAAGTTCAATAATCATTCAATTAAAGTAAAGGGAAGCTAAGTTATCCATAATTTCTTTCAATGTTAAAAATGTCTGCTACTTATGGAAACAAAGGGGGCACTTGGTGCCGGTGACTTGCTCCTTGGCTTTCACCGTGCACGTAAATGTTACGATAGACGTTGGAAGAAAAATAGATGATTCTATACAAGAGACTTGCAGACATAATTTGATTTACCTTATTTGACAATCAAACCACCAAAAAACGAGATATTCGTTTGATTGAACGAGACGCAAATGTTTTGTTACTCAGCACGGCAAAACCGCGGGAAAACTGAGTTTTTCTTTCTGTTCTTCTCTACAGAAATCGAACCAGCGATTTCTCATGCCCGTCAGCAAGATATATGAGAAACTACTTACGCAGAAAATCAGAACATAGTCTTCTGCTCATTAATGCAATTTTCGGTTTTTGAGTAGTAGTTCGAGTTATACCGCCATAGCTTTGAACACCAGAAGCACAATTATAGTTGAAAAACGGCCCATAGCCTATAGTGAGTTGATGGTTACAAATTTACCAGCGGACAAACGCCAGACTGCGTGCTGTTGGTTTGGTTTGTTGGGCTCATTCAGTGCAGCAGACGACGAGCGAGGCGACGCACGGTGGGGAGAGACCTTCAAAGCAACAAATTGTTTTCACGTAAACTACTACATTGTGCTGCGTGACAAGTTTGAATTCCGGAGCGAATTGTTATGAAAGACGACTCTATGGCAGATGTTCAGGTTGCAGAAAGCAGGTATTACATCTGAAAACATTGAACATTGTTTGTTGTCACATTACCATCTGCTCATAGCTTTTCCTAGTCATTATCAGAATTATCTGGCGATTACCATTGCGCAATCCTATCTACGTCTAGATCATGCGTGTGTTTTCCTATGTCAAGATCCTAAAGAACGTTGCACATAGCACATGACATCGCATCAGCCCTGCAGATTGCCCCAAATTTCACATTTTCTGAATTCACTGACCTAACCTTTGCTTTTGTTCATTTGTTATTACTCTGTACTTTTCAAATTGAGCTGTCACTTTTTAGATTTTCTTTGAACAGTTCACAATTTTGACATATTACACAATTTATTTCACTGCCAGCTCATGTTTCTCTTAACTCTTAGAGTGCTTTCCTTACAACTATATAAATATGATGAAATAAATTTTAAAATTTGTGAATTATTTCATTAACTTCAACACACTGTATTTTTTAATGCTCGGCGCCTGTCAACAGCCAGCTTGCGGAGAGTAATTCAATATTAACAAGAATCAGGTAATACCCCCACAGAAATTAGCTAAGTTGAATTTCAAACTTGTGCTATAAGCTGTTTGGAGCACTTGAACATAATGTATGTAGCCAATAAACACAAAATAGTAATTTGGGATTCAAGTATCAGTCAAATGCATGACTCCAAGGGACTGTTTCATGTTTATTTGGTAAACTAGTGGTTGTATTTTAATTCAATTCATTGCAATAAACCCTGGTGTGTTGCATCTTAAGACAATTAATTGAAATATCAGGAGCAGTGCTGCTCTAAAGGCCCGTCTACGATCAGCCGTAAGCTGTAAGCTGAAAGTCACAAGCCAAGTTGTAAGATCTGTTTTAGTGAGATGCGCTTCTGCCAACAGCTTCGGTTAGGGCTAACAACTCGTCTTACAGCATTGACGAACGCCCGAGAACGATAGTCAGTTCAGAAACAGTCTGTTTCGCCCAAACCGAAAATCCAAAAATTCATTACGACACATTAGAACACATCTTAGGTTGTATTGTAGACAAGCCTTAAGGGTTATAAAGTTTAAAAAAATTATCATTTTAATGACTGACCATACCTTTATGAAGTTAATGAGGTATATGTATTTGTCAATTCTCTTTCATATTTCAGGAACTGGCTGAGCAGTTGGTTCCAGTGGACTCCAATGTCTGCCACTGTGCTTCGAGCTGCTGAAAAAAAGATTCTGTCCTGTGAGTACATTACCTTTATAATTATAACATATTTTGCCTTCTCAAAAGTTAAATCTCTTCAATCAATATTTCTCAAAATTAATTTTAGGTTTGAAGGCAGCATATCGAGGATGGTATGTAGACATTGGTTCTGCTGTTGGAACCTCTGATAAAATATGGACAATATCTTTAAACCAAGAATCCCCTAAAACACCTATTGTGATGCTCCATGGACTTGGTGCTGGAGTGGCTCTATGGGTCCTCAATTTAGACTATTTAGCTTGTCATCGACCTGTCTATGCCATTGACTTACTAGGTAAGTGATGATTATTTTTATATTTTTTTTACAAACTTGCTGTGTGGTGCCTCTTATCTTAAAACAATTACGCTGAATTTTAACTTTTACTTCTAAACACAACAAAGGCTTTGGTCGTAGCTCTAGACCGTCATTTAGTTCTGATGCAGTACAAGCCGAAGAGCAACTTGTTAAATCTGTGGAAGAATGGCGTAAAGAAATGAAGCTTGAAAAAATGGTAGTTCTGGGTCATAGTATGGGAGGTTTTCTTGCTGCTTCATATGCTATAAAATATCCAGATAGGTAAGTGTTGCACGTTACACAAAGACTTTTTCAGTCTTTCGTTCTGTCTTTTTACTACTCATATGATTTGTAAAGCAATGTCACTTCAGCTCTGAATCTAACACATTTTGTCCTCTTAACATTGCAGAGTGGCCCATTTAATACTTGCTGACCCCTGGGGGTTCCCAGAACGTCCTGCTGACCACAAGCCCAATTTACCTTTTTTTTATAGAGCAATTGGGTGGCTTTCTCAAACAATGAATCCTTTCTGGGCTTTGCGTTTGGCTGGACCTTGGGGTAAGTTATAAAACAGATTTTAAAATAAACAAGTGTAACAACAAGTGTCCCTTTTAAAATTGAGGAACATTTTTGGTAGGTCAAAATGTGGTGGAGAAGACTAGACCAGATATAATGAAAAAGTTTTCATCTGTAGTGAATGATAATGAAGGTGAAAATGTAGTTGCTCAGTACATATTTCAGTGTAATGCTCAGAAACCCACGTAAGTAGATTTAATGTAAAGTTGATTTCATTTTTTGCCCCTAATTTTGAGAGATATTATCTTGTTAACATTACTTTTCTGATGTAATAGAGGTGAAAGTGCTTTTCATGCAATGATGACCGGATTTGGCTGGGCCAAGAACCCAATGATAAAGCGGATCCATGAAATTCCCTCTGATGTACCTGTGACAGCTATTTATGGGTCGAGGTCCTGGATTGACTCACAATCTGCAAATATCAAGGAAAGAAGACCAGATTCATATGTTAATGTGCAGGTAAATTGCTTTAAATTTACCTTCCCAAAGTTCTGAAAATTCGTTTAGGACATTCTTTTAGATAACAAATGTTTCAGATTATTTCTGGGGCTGGTCATCATGTTTATGCTGACAAGAGTGATGTTTTCAATGCACACGTGGAGAAAGCTTGTCAAATGGCAGACAAAGCTGCAGATATTTCTTCAGGAACATGCACTGTAGAGGAAAAAACCAGTTCTATAGAAGACACAACTTCTGAAGATATAGATGTTAAAAAGTAGATAGATTTGATTAAGGGGTTGAGTTTGACCTGTGCGTTTGCTTTGGTGGGCCCACAATTTTGAACTTGAGGAAAATTTGGTTGTGACTTACTTTTGTGTTACATAAATCTTAAGAAACAAGAATTTCTACTATTTAGTACATAAGAAGTTAATCAACAAAGTTTAAAATTCCAGTTTTCATTATAGTATGAATTTTTTCACCTAAGCTTTTCATGTATGTTGATTTTATTTGCAATCATTGCAGACAATACATATAGTTCCTAAAGTTCATGTCTAATTTGGTTGTTTTGCTTTTGGTGAGTTGTAAAGTAATGTTTGGAAGTATGCCAAAGAATGCACGAGCTAACAAATTATCAATTATCCCACTTTAGTTTAAACATGGTTCACTCTTTGTACCCCTGCTTAGGCAAATTTGAAAAATGTACTTCATGGCAATTGTTATTCATACTGCTTTTAAGCATTTTTGGTCTTTGTTTGCACATGGAGTCAATGGTTAAGTAAGTGGTCATTCATTTTCAGTTGTTCACTTTTACAAGGCAGTTAATTTGAAAAGAAAATGTAATTTGATTACTATATGCTTCATTCCTTGTTGCTCAAAAGTATTCAATGTTAAAATTTATTTTTCATATTTCATTATAACTTAAGGTTTTAAACATTATCTGCCACAATTGAGTGCCGATCCTTGAACTTCATGATGTGCATTTGCACATACACTTGTGTAAGTTCTCTGATGTCATTCTGTTGCCAACACTGCACTGTGATATGATCAAAGATTTTCTATTTTGCAGTAAACTAGACTATGTAATATTGTAGGTTAAATAATTGAGATAATCTTCTGGTTATACCAAATTTCGATGTTCCTTTTCAATCTACTTTTATTTAGGAACAAATAACTAGGGGACCAACCTGATCCTACTTAAGCTCTTGCCTGCTATAGTTCTTGTTACACCCAGTCGAGAAATCTGCAATAATCAAGGCTACTGAGTAGAGGGTTTTGACACTTGCTTGTGCATATGCAATATGGCTTGAGCGATGTTTGTTATTGTTACCATTATTTATTGTTTAAGTTTTTAATTGTATTATTTTTTTCTGCTGGAGTACCTCTATTTTTTCTTGAAAAGGACGGTTGTGTTCAGGTAATAAATGCCGAATACAGTTTTTTTCAAGTATTTAATTTAATTGAGGGAACTTACACTGCAAGCACATTCATTCGAACATGCTCACACAAAAAATTGCCTTGAATAATTGTATTTAATGCAGTATCTTACAGAAAAATACAGTATAACACAGCTTGGCTTCCTAACAAAGACAATGGCTCTACTGGCCCATGTGGGCTTAAAGATAACCATTATGGCAGACTAATGGCTTAATGCACAATAGGAATGTACAGAAAGCCTACAGAAACATTTAAAGCCTTGCTAATTATTTTTTTTACTGAGAAGGCAATAAATCAAACACTGCGCATAAAATTCCATATAAAATATATTAAATTACAACCAACACGACTCAAGCATCCATCTAAACATTAAATAAAATCATGAATAATCTGCGATTTCATCACTTTCACGCAGTCCTGTAGCTAGAGAACAATACTGTCAAATTTTTAAGAATTTAGGCATAAAATGTACACATAAATCTTAAATAGTAAGTAGGTACAAACTTGCTGATAAGGCAACTCCAAAAATAAAATGCAGATACTACTGGCCTCTGAGATCATTCTTTGTCAAATTATTCACAGCATAAAATTAAATTAAAATTCAGTACTTAGACTGCCAACATATTTTTTTTTTCAAGAAAGAGAAAAGCATTGACATGATTTAACTGTAAATTAAAGTTCTTTTGAAAGATAGGACAAAAGCTAAAAAGTCACTTGGATAAGTAACTGGAACACTGCACAATTCTATCAGTCAAGCACCAAAGACAAGAGCAATTTGCTTGAACACAGCATCTGCAAACAGCATCAAATCGGAAGTGTGACTAAGTGGACGGCGCTTAGGCCAATGTAGGATAGTACTTATGAAATACTTCAACTTGATTCTTTTTTCTCTTCCTTCTTGTCATCTTTTTTGTCATCTTTCTTCTTTTCCTCATCTTTCACATCTGCAAATTAGACACAATTAGGAACCATGAACAATACATTAGTTTCAACTGCTGTTTCAAAACTTACCATTGTCTCCGGAACCATTTTCTTCCTCATCTTTTTTCTTGTCTTCTTTATCAATTGAAGAAGACTTTCCTTTTCCCTTGGCAGGTGTTGCAGGTTTCGGCTTAGGTTCCATACTAGGGTCGAGCAAAATTTTACCAACATTTTTGCGGTCATGCATTTTTTGCATAGCTTCAGGCACCTAGAAAAACAATTGGAATCATGAGGCATCCTGATAAAATACTGGATTTAGAGAGGAAAGTTTGCAGCCAATGTCTTACATCTTCTAGGGCCCATGTAGAGTCAATAACAGCCTTTACTTTCCCTTTAGACCACAAAGCAAAAACTTTGTCCATGACACTTTTAATATGGGCAGCCCCACCTTGCTGATACATCAAATGACGCATATTCAAACCAGCCAATGTTTTATTTTCATCAAAAAGCTTGATGGGGGATACCTTATCAACTTGCCACCACTGGAAAAAAAATACACAAATTAGCTGTCAATAATAGAAATTTCTGGGAAATGCAAAATGGTTCAAGATGTATAATAAAACTTACAGATTTTGCAACACTAAATATACTCTTGGTTTCACCAGTGACAACATTTGCAGAGCCTAAAAAAGATTAACAAATTAATGATAAACCTCCAAGTCAACAAGTGCAATCATTAAAACTAAAATTTAAAAAATAAAATTACATACCATAGAGAACATATTTGCCCATTGGCTTGATGAGGGAATAGCCTCTGTTGCATTCTTCTCCACACAAGCAGTCAAGGACTATGTCAACTCCCTCGGGGTACAACCTACAAAATACATAGCATTAGCACTCACAGTACCAATCCATCCCGATTCATGAATATAAATAACCAACTTACTTCCGAACTTCACTCGCATAGTCTGTGCCCCTCTCAATGATATGATCAATTGATCCCTGAATAGCTTCATGTTTAGCCTTGCTCGCAACACCGATAATTTTGACGCCCTCGACGGTACGCGCCAACTGACAGACAGCTTGACCCTGCACAAAAAATAGATAAAAAATACATTTCGAGTACACATTCCAAACATCACCAAAATAACGGGATGCGGGGACTGAAGATGGTAAAATCCGAAATTTTTCCGGAAAAATTTGAAACTTTTCGAGAAAAAACATCGGAAAAATTGTCATGTTTCCAAAAAGAATAGAAAAATCAATTTAG